CACACACACACACACACACACACACACACACACACACACACACACACACACACACACACACTCTCAGACTGCTGTGTCTCCACGCTCACACCAGGTTCGTCTCCGGAAAGGAGATCAAGAAGAAGAAGTGTCTTTTCGGGCTGCAGGTCCGAGCCCCGCCTCCGCTGACGTCTGATTCGTCGCCGCTCATCACCGACCCGCCCATCAGCATCACCCACCGGAGAAGGTCAGAACCAGGTTTAACCGTGAACCCTTCAACTGCGTCTTGTGTTGTATTTTCAGCAGCAGCTTCAGCTTCAGGTACAGAGATTGTTTCTAACGTGGAGCAGAACTCCAGAACAAAATACAAACAATAAGATAAATGATTTTACAAATGTTTTCTTTATTGCTTTTTTCTCTTGCCTGAAAATCTGCGAGCTGCTAATTTCCACTGATCAGTCCTGAGATTATTAAATTATAAATAGAGGGCTGCTTGTGGGGTTGCAGGTTGAAGACCCCTGTGCCCGACTGGAAAATCATCTTTTCAGCTGCGATCTGTCCAAAACCAGAATTAAAGCTGATTCTAAACATTTTGTCTGCTGGTGCAGAACTCACCTGACGTTCAGATTATTCTTCTTTAAATCAAACGGGAATAAATTCTGTTGGTGCAGAATCTTATAAAACAGTTTCTTATTGCTTTCCAACTCGAACAGCAGAAATATTAAGGTTTTATAAGCAGGATGTTAAAATGAACTGTTCCAAACTGATTCAGATGATTCCTTCTTCTGCACAATCTGCACAACAAAACGTCACATTTTCATACTTTTATAATCTGTTGCTCAGAATGCTGAGTAATTCACTGAACACACATTAATGCTAGGAGGAGAAATCTCTTTTAAATTTTTAAATTTTTTATTTTTTTCATCAGAATGAGACAGTTCAAGTTCCTATTACCAGAACAACTGATTACAGGTTAAATATGGTCATTTCCTGGGGTAGTTTGATGGACTGATGAACTAAAAGCTTCATCTTTTGGGAACTTATTCAGTTTAAACAGATTAAAGTTTGAAGGTTTTTGTAAAGTTGAGGCTGCAGGTTTGAAAGAAAAATAAAAACATTCAGTTTAAAACAAAAACAGAGAAAAATGATTTGAAATTTAAAGATTAGCTGAGGATTATGGAAAGAACTCATTTTGAAAGAGTTTGACCTCGAAAGTTACCCAGCTGTATGATGTTTTCTTTTTTTATGTTTTATACAACTTTGTCTTTTGGTTGATGAGGTATTTTGCTAACAGACACAGACAAAAACACTCGATGGTGCGATAGGAAATCTGTCAAACAGCAGTTTTTACAGAGCGAACACCTGAACTGCTTCATGCAGACATGATTTTATCAGAAGCATGAAAATGTTTCCTCTGTGTTTTCGTCCCCTGCAGCCCGTTGTCACTTCCCTGCCAGAGACGAGTCGGAGGACCAGAGTCACGGAAATCAAAGCGTCGCATCATGGAGACACAGGTCAGCGCCTCTGTCTGAGGAAGAGGAGGGGGGGTGGTCCAGGCCACTTAACCCCACTGATATTTTTCTCCATCCCCTCCCCACCCATTCTTTTAAACGCAGCCAGGTAAACAGCTCAGCTCGGCTCAAAATAAGCTGTCAGTCAGACGAGGCGCGGCGCTTTATTTCACCCTCCACCTCCGTCTGCTTCCTGCTCGGCTCCTCTGTTCGTTCTCTCCTCTGCGGCGTTTTGAAAGCCCGCTAACGTTTGAGAGAACACAAATAGATTAATAGCAGCTGCGAGAGACGTGGCGTTGTTTCGATAAAATGTATAATTCAAATGCAATCTTGTGGTGGAAAAAAAAAGCTCTCGTGCTTCATGAACACCTGCGGTTCAGCTCTGCGTTTATCATCATCATCATCAAACTCAATTCCCAGCGGATCGCTCTGAAACAAGCTCACATGTGGCAGTTACTATTTTTACTCTGCGTTCTTAACCGTGATGCTCATTGTGCCTTTTTTTCCCTCCTACACATCACTCTGATCCGTGTACGTGCACATACTGTAATCCTGGAACAATACGCTCTGCAGAGGTCTCTCTGTACTCCTCTGATTGATGCTAATCTCCATCCTTCTCGGAGGAGCAGGATTGTGGCGATGAGGAAAGTGAGACGGGTTGGGATGCTGATCTGCGCCGTCTGGGATCACGTCCAAGTGCGCTTTGCAGTCAATTACAGTTTGGCCAGGTGGTGCTGGCACCTTGACAGTGCAACTCTGTCAGAGTGGTACTGTTTAAAGGCACAGGCATCAGCTGAACCCACCCCCCACCTCAGAAGGGGACGATGATGGGCTCAGTGTGGTTCTATAAGTCACAGTCCGGTGATGAAAGATCATCAGGTGACCTCCTCCTGGATGTTGTTCCCGCTGACTGATGGCTCTCTCTGATGGTTTTATGGGTCATTAATGGGTGGGAAGCTGCCTTACTAACCGGTCCGCTCCATGAGGTGGGACGTCACAAAACTGTTAGGTGTCTGGCTCTCTCCATCCAGTCCAAAAACGTTAATACAACCCCTGGTAAAAAAGTATGGAATCAGCAGTCTTGGATGAGCACTCGTTCAGACATTTCATTCTGTAAAACAAACTCAGATCAAAAACATGATACAATAATAAGGTCATTCCAAAGTGCAACTTGTTGGCTTTCAGGAACACTCAAAGAAATGAAGAGAAAACATTGTGGAAGTCAGTGAATGTTACTTTTATTGACCAAGCACAGGGGAAAAAATATGGAATCACTCAATTCTGAGGAAAAAAGTATGGAATCATGAAAAACAGATAAACAAMAGACCATTCAAAATACATCACTAGTATTTAGTTGCACCACCTTTGGCTTTTATAACAGCTTGCAGTCTCTGAGGCATGGACTTGATGAGTGACAAACAGTATTCTTCATCAATTTGGTGCCAACTCTCTTTAATAGCAGTTACCAGATCAGCTTTGCAGGTCAGAGCCTTCTTGTGGACCATTTTTTTTCAATTTCCACCACAGGTTTTCAATTGGATTGAGATCTGGACTATTTGCAGGTCATGACATCGACTGAATGTGTCTTTCTCCAAGGAATGCCTTCACTGGTTTTGCCCTATGGCACGATGCATTGTCATCTTGGAAAATTATTTCATCACCTCCAAACATCTGTTCAATTGAAGGGAWGAGAAAACTGTCCAAAATGTCAATGTAAACTTGTGCATTGATAGAAGAATTAACCACAGTCATCTCCACAGTGTCTTTGCCTGACATGCAGCCCCATATCATCAAGGACTGTGGACATTTGGTTGTTTTCTTCAGGCAGTTCTCTTCATCAATCTCACTGGAACGGCACCAAACAAAAGTTCCAGCATCATCACCTTGTCCAATGCAGATTCTTGACTCATCACTGAAGATAACTTTCATCCAGTCATCCACAGTCCATGATTGCCTCTCCTTAGCCCATTGCGGTCTTCTTCTTTTTGGTTTAGGTCACAATGATGGTTTTCTTTTAGCTTTCCTGTATTGAAATCCCATTTCCTTTAGACAATTTCTTATGGTTCGGTCACGTACATTGGCTCCAGCTTCCTTCCATTAATGCTTCATCTCTTTAGTTGTACTTTTTCAGTTTTCAAGACAAATGGCCTTAAGTTGTTTGTCTTGATGCATTGGTGTCTTTCTTGGTCTACCAGTACGCTTGGCTTTAACAACCATTCCATGCTGTTTGTATTTGATCCATATCTTGGACACAGCTGACTGTGAACAGCCCACATCTTTAGCAACCATGTGTGAAGAGCTACTTTCTTCAAGAAGTTTCACAATCCTCTCTTTTGTTTCGAGACATTTCTCTTGTTGGAGCCATGGTTCTTGCCACTCCACTTGGTCCAGCAGCCCTCCAAGGTGTCATGACTGCAGGTGTTTTTAACTGCAGACTAACGAGCAGATCTAATCTGAGGCAGGTGTCCATTTAGGGAAAGGAAATTGACTGGGTGTGTCCTTATTTTCTACCTCCAATTTGAGTGATTCCATATTTTTTTCCTCAGAATTGAGGCACACTTTTTCCTGTGCTTGGTCAATAAAAGTAACATTCACTGACTTCCACAGTGTTTTCTCCTCATTTCTTTGAGTGTTCCTGAATTATTGTATTTTTTATGAAAAAATATCCAGTTTCTCAGTTTCAACAAGATGTTTGCTTCTGTTCCACTGTGAATAAAATAAGGGTTCATGAGATTTGCAGCTTATTATATTCTGTATTTATTTAGGTTTTTACATTTTTTTGAGGTCGTATTTCTTTAACATTAATAACGTATCATAAAATCCTCTGTTTCACGAACTCTCCTTTAATTTTTGGTTGTAAAATTCCTCCTGACACAGAATTGTGTCTGAGCAGAATGAACTGGAGGCATGAGCGAACACGAAGGTGTCAGAGAATCCTGGGAGGATTTAGGCATCCAGACACCAGCTGATCTGTGTCTCTCTCTCCCAAACACTACCCCTGTGCTCAGGTCTGTCCACCTCCAGTTGCTGCCAACCCTGTTGAACTGCTGCCATGTTGTCATGGCTACATGGGAGGGGCCGGCCTGTACAACCCCAGGAAGTCAGAGGAGGAGCTTAATGTGAGGTAAAGGCTGCAGGTGCTTCCTGAGTGGATCTCTGACAGAAAGGCTCATTTCTTCACCGTTTAACAGCTAAAGAGTTTTTGTAGAAAGCTACGAATTAATGCTGCATGAGTTGTCTGAATTTAGCCCAACAAACCAGAAGCAACCCTTTATATATTTTACAAAGCAAACTTTAAAATCACAGCCTTTTCTACAGTTTATTTGAATAGAATAGAATAGAATAGAATAGAATAGAATAGAATAGAATAGAATAGAATAGAATAGAATAGAAACAGCCTTTATTGTCCCGTGTGGGGAAATTCAGGTGTAATAGCAGCAGCAGATACATACATACATCAATCCACAGAAACAGCATATTGCTATGTGACATTATCAACTGTAGCAATAATAATAGAATTAAAGATAGTAACAATAAAAATAAACCTAGATCAAAATAACAATAAGAAAAATAATTTCTGTACTGGACTATCAAGATAAAATTGGATAAAAATAAAAATAAAAGCAAGAAACCATGCAGAAAAATATAAAAGGAAAAAACAGTTATGACTCAGGATCCGAGGGGGGGGAGGGGGTGTAAATAGAAAGAAATTTCAAAATGTTTCTAAATCTTTACAAAACCTTACACAATTTGTTCTGGTTATGCTCTTTTTTACTTCCTTGTACAAATTTTAGCTACTTTTTTTTTGCTAATTTTAGCTTTTTTCTGCTATTTAAGCTAAAATTCTGCTTCTTTTATTCTTCTGCTATTTTCTACTCTTTATGTTTTTTTAATGCTACGTTGGGCTATTTATTCTTCTTACAGATGCTTTATGCCATTTTCAGCTATTTGCTGCAATGTTAGCTAATTTTCAGTTGTTATAAGCTAAGATTAGCTTTTTAAGCTAAATACACATTTTTTGTAGCTAATACAACTTATTTCTGCTAAGTTCAGCAAACCTGTGCTCCTTATGCTAATTAAAAAAAAATTCAGCTACTTTTTAGCTGTTTTACTGAAAACTTCAGCTGTTTAACTATTTCACTATAAATTATCACTTTTAAATGGTTTTATGCTGTTTTTTCTTCTAATTCTGAATTTTTTACTACACTTTTACCATGTCGGTGCTACTTTCAACTTGTGTCTGCTACCTTTATGCTAATTTTAGTTTTTTGTTGCTACATCAGCTAAAGTTCTGCTTCTTTCTAGATTGATATAAATTGGATTATATTGTAGGTTAAAGTTGCTGTTATCTTGTTTCTCATCTTCAGCCCCCCTCCCAAACGAATGTACGCCCTGTACCACACGTACAACGGAAATGCTGCACTCTCCAGGAGTCTTCATCACTACAACAGGTTTTCTTCACGCCGCCTCTCATGGTTAACACTCAGAAAGTTCCTGTTCAGCTGATCGCTAGAAAACTATTAAATTATGACTTAAATTAGTTGTTTTTATTTGTAAATACTTTCTTTAAAATGCTAGCTAACAGAAATCAGCTGATTGATTTTTACCGAATATAAAAGAAAGTTTAGATGGGTAACAGAGCTCCATGATAACCAGTTTAAATGACCCCAAACTGGAGGAATGTTTGATTTTTCCTTGTAGCATTTAAAGTTTGCCAGTTTCATGTTGAGACAACTGGAGTTAAGTCCAGCCAAAGAACCACTTCAGACTGAATGATGACCTCTTTATTTTTTCCATTTTCCCAACTGTATTCTTGGTCATGCACGTTATTTTGTTGTCCTCTGCCCACATCACACCCACCTTATCTCTATCTATCTATCTATCTATCTATCTATCTATCTATCTATCTATCTATCTATCTATCTAT